TCGCCTATACGCCGATTCTCTCATTGCGTCGCCTGGTACGTAGCCGGCCAAACGCCGTCTTCTTTCCATGCCTCGCCTGGCTCTGCCTCCTGGTCCTTCGATGGTCCATAACGTGTAGTTTTTGTACGTTTGTTTCTCTTCAGAAACCGAATCTTCATGCGTGAAACTTTGTGTGCTATTTCCAGTGATCACAACTGACATATTCATGTTAGGAAAGAGTGCAAGAATTTTCCGCGCAAGATTCCTTTAATTCTGTTTGTTGCGTAACCTAACTTGAGAGTTGGTTACTAGTGAACAGGATTCGTGAGCATATCAGAAACATGTCTACCCATTTTTCGTGTCTATCCCCATTCGCCGATTCTCGTTCATGGAAACCCACTGCAGCTGCAAGGCCCATTCGCTACAGTCGCAGAGTAATTGACAACACAGTGAAGAAGAAATCAGAATATTTAAATCAACGCACTCTGTTGAAATCGAATTTATGTTCGGCTAAGAAGGTGATGGCAGAAGTTGAAACGGAAAACTCTTTCTCCGGCATGCGTTTGAAAAGTGTGAAGCAGAATGCATCTGCACGGTACCTGAAGGAAGTAGAGTAGTGAAGAAGTTACAAGTAAAGCGAGACGACCCACGGCATAATATATCTTGAAAAAAAATGGAGACGAAACATATGGTCATCCAACAATGCTAAAGGCTCGTAAAGCAGTAGTTGTGAACTTAACCATTTGAAGAATAAAAAGAAAAACAAACGTTGCCTCATCGTTGCCTTCCTGATAACACACCAATCCTAGCTGACATGGCGGAAATCGGCACACGGCTTCACGTAATTTTCTGTACCGATCACACGGGGTATCAAAGAGCGACACAGCACATCCCCTTAATGCCGAAGGCAGCCCCAGAAACTCACAGTCGAAAGCTGAAATTCACTGTTCCTAATCCAATAATAAAAAAGAGCATTTCCTAACCTAATTTCAGATATCATCCTTTCATCGAAATTATAATTTTTATGTTACGCAAGAAACGGCCATATTTGATGAATGTGGCCAGCTTCATCGCTTACTGTATAGCCCTCCCCACATGGTTCCGTCTCATTTAGAGTGATGAAGCCATCCTCACCCAACACTCAGGAGGTTCCTGGCAGAATGGAAGACATTTTTGGACAACCACTGCTAAACCTCAAGAACGCGCTATGTTAGGTCCCCATACGTCATGGCCTTAGGATGCCCACACCTTTCTCTAATGCACCTCCAGCCGTCTACTGCTGCTTTCTGAGACGTAGACTTGTGGCAACATCATAGAAGTGCGCTTCGTAATATTTATTATCACAAAAACTGCGACGAAAAAAAAGCGAGAAACAACTAAAAATCACATTCTTCCAGGAGGCGACGTCAGACTTTGCGAATCGCGCGATTCGCTAGCGTCTGCGGTCGCGTCGCGGCCAGTGAATCACTCAATTGGCTGGTACCGCAACGCGACCGCGGACGCTAGCGAATCGCTAGTAGCGAATCGCGCGATTCGCAAAGTCTGACATCGGCCTATACATATTGCAGCCACTTAAACACCAACATAATCTCCTTAACACTCATCTAAGACAGAGATTGGGTTCGACTGCCAAAATTGACCCGCGCAGTACAACTCACTGAAGCTGAGGGACTACCTAAGGCTGGTGTCAGGGTTCGCGATCCGTCATGTGATTCGCGCGACGGATAACAGAAGTCACACCCCAATCAGTACTGCGAGGTGCTCTCCAATCTCGCCATCAATTCTGCATGATGTTGATGGTTGAGTGGCGACTTTCATGATCCTATTTGTTTCTTGTTCAACGTTTGAAAGGTTCAAATAGGGCACTTTCGATTTTTTGCGATTCGCGTGAACTGCCCACGGACGCGAACTATGACACCATCCTCAGTCCACATTCGAAGTCACACTAGGTGTGTTTGTGAATTTGACGTGGCCGTCGTCGCACTTGATAGAAGTCGTGTGAACAAGCTGTTTTTAACATATTCCAATTGATATCAGCAAACCATACTTGAAGCAAATTAACAAGCAACTTCCATCAATGCGGAGCCCCACGTTCTACCCATAGACACCCCTAACGTGACATATGGAGTATAACAATAGATGCAGACGTTAGCACCACGTAGACGGAAATGCGTTAGAGTTTTTCGCGCATAGGTTGCAACATGATGATCAAACCCCAGTTATGGGCACATGCTAGAGCCTAGTTAGACGCCTACGAGCAAACTAGGAAGGTCCTAATCAGGGGCGACTCGACCTACTAGGACGCGATGTAACCCTTTCTAAATTTGAATTTGACTCGGATCCACGATGAATTCACCTCAATGGAGTACAGCCAATTGTTCTTAGCGGTTTACGATGAGTGCGCGGATTTTACTTTGATGAGAGCGCTCTCAAAAGTCAAATGCCTAGTGGCAATGCTACTTTGTCACAAAGTTGTGCTTGCTAACTCTCAGCAAGACTTTCTTAGTGGTGCTTACATTTTACCGTCAGTTCAACTTCGTAGCAGTGTGAGAAATCCTACATGTACCAGAAAAGGAACTAACGAAAAACTAACAGACAAATGTAGCTTCTTCAATAGATTTCTTGATACGAGGCATCCAATAACGGAAGTTCCGCTCGTCCACTTCAATAGCCGCCATTCATGAAATTGCCCCTTAATGCTCAGATGCAGATGCACAGCATATCAGTTGATATACTCAGTTCCTCTACAAACAAGGAAAGAACAGTTTAGTGTTCGAAGAAGCACAAGCCAAAACTCTTCACATGCCAAGAGATATATACATTTAACCAAACAGACAATCTTAAATCTCAACAACGAATATGTCAACAGTAACAAGTAATTCTAAGCACACAAATTTTAGCACTCATAACAATGGAACTTCACGTCTTTATTTTCTTGATCTTTTTCTTTAATTTCTCCACATCCAATGCTTCAGCTTGCCGCTTCGGTGTCTCCTTCTCTCGTGGCTGAAGAAACAACTCAACTCACTACTCCGGATCAACGTTGAATAAAAGGTTGTGATATTGTTGATTTTTAGCCTCTTTGAAACCAGGTTGTTCGAGGCCAGTTTACCACTCAATAGAGAGTAACGACGCCCTCATTAATGCTGAAGCTCAACTATAATATCTACCTAATACTAATTTACATACAATATCCCTCTAAGAAACTTCGCCATAAGCCTACAAACGGTGAGACTTGAAAGAAAAGCAGAAACGCCTTATGTGGGTATGGGTCAGATTAACGGTAGGGGCGAAACTGTGCCAGACCCGCGGCATTTGTCCTGTGATAGGTGTCTGACAAACCGTATCTGCGACAGATCACTGGCCCGATTTAAAATACTACTACCCCCCACCGCTCCCCCACCCTCTCTACATTCTCAAACGGTTGTTGTGTTTGCCATCGCCTCACGCTATCTAACTCATTCCACCGAGCGGTGAGGAAGTAGGAAATCAGGACGGGAGGAGAGGGGGAATGATATAGAGTTTCCGAAAAATCAAATTTCCTACGACTCCGTTCCTTCTTATTTCTCCCTTGACAAGGGATGGCAATGAACGGTTGAACCTACGCATCAGCTGACATTTGAGCGATGGTCGGGAAGACTCTACCTAGTTAGACCACTTTCGTCTTTTCCTTTCACTTTTCCCAGTCAGGAGATCACAAGTCATCTTCCACACCTGGATCTCAAAAGAAGGCAACCACATATATCCGAAAATTTTGGATTCTAAGGTGTCAAATTAATTGTGCGCTAAACTTACACTGCGCCTTCGAAGACGACGGTACAGTTATTAACTAACACATATTACAGCTGCCATTAAAAATGCAACACATAGGAAATATCCAATTATTGCCAACCCCGTAGGCGGTATCCCTGATACCAATCTGAGGCCCCTCCCCCCCCCTCCAACCAAACACCACAAACGTATTCGTATAAGAAAATGAGTGAGAATACCAATCTCACCTTTTCTACAGGAGGCTTGGAACTTTTTCAACTTCTCCTTCTTGCGATCCTCAGACTTCATGGCAGCAACTTCTATCTTTTTCCTGAACAAGAATCAGCTAAAACAATGAGAGCGAACTGAAACCATCCCCAAATTTAAATTCAACAGAAAAGGGCCATAAAGCGATGCCAGAATGTAGAATTATCTCGAATAAACAAATGTTATAATAAAATTTGCATTGCATGGGAATCAAAACCCATTCCGCTTGTGCCTAGAAACTCCTATCACTCTTATTATCCCATAGCAGCTGCAACGCAACTAATGAAGAATATTTTGCATGGCAAATAGCTGTTCAATGGTCTCTCCAATTCCAAGGGAAACTCACACGGAGAGTTCATACGGAAAGAAATCATCAATGCATAGTGTTTTTTACTACTTTAGCTCTCTGTAGTGCCGCCACAGCTAATGTAACCTACGATCCATTTCAAAAAAAAAGCGTTCAACAAGCGGATGGTATGTTAACTGTAACGATAAGAGCACCCACCAGCTATCCTATCTCCGATAGAGCACCCACCAGCTATCCTGTCCCCACCCTTCTACCTCTCTTTTCCCTAGTTGAAAAAACCGCTACTGCGACGATGACTACACATAATAACTAATGTTACACGAGACATGCCCCAAGAACGGGTCCGTATAATATTATGGGCATTCTCGGTCAACACCGAAGCTTCCTGCTAGCACTAGTATTACTCGTGATCTCCAGGTTATCCTGAAGCGCGACTATAGACCTCATTCTCAAGCCGCCCATGTTTGCGCCCTTCCAACAAACCGTGGAAGCCACATTCTACCTCCCTCCGTGGGGAATCTACTGAATGAAAAAAAAACATTGCCCACCCCGACGTGGAATGTTTATGCCTCCTCAACTTTCTCCAGTCTAACGGTTTTTGGAGAAGAGTTGTGGACTTCTGGAAATTCTCGCTTGCAAAAACATGTTTTTTCAACGCGACACCACCAATCTCAACACCGATCCTAAACCTACTGCTCATCCACTACTGCGAAGCTTCTTCAAGCATTTAGACTGCAGTTACTAGAACCGAAAAACAAAACCCGATCACAAACTTTTTGAATATTTGAGTACTATGTGCTGCATGAGTGAGCACACAGTACTCAAATGGTTATATGGCAACTAATATTACACGAGACACGACCCCCGAATGGAACTTGCAAAGGAATTGCGAGTATATCTAAAACCTATGAATTCCCATAAATAAAATGCTCGAGAGTCAGGATGAACACTTTCACACACGCTTATTGTCGCTATAGCGAATAGCATGGATGAGTGTTGAAACAGGGCCGTACTCAATAAAAGGCATCAGTATTAAAAGCGACTTGCCGCAAAAAAACTTCTCAAAAGTACATAGCAATATGCCATTAAAACCTGGCGATGAGGGAGCATTTTGTATCGGGGAATTCACATGTACTGCTGATTGCTAGATGAGAAAAAAGGCTGTGTTTCGTTAAAAGAATTCCCGTTTAAATTTTCTGTGTCTTACCAACAAAAACTGTCCTGAGGTGCATATTTCTAATGTATGTATGTGCGTAAAATCAAGCATGTGTGTAAACAAAAGGAACATGATCTTCGGGATCGACGAAATTTAAAGAACGTTTTGTTCCACTGGCCTCGCAGAATGGATAGGGTGCCAAGTGGGTTTGGGGGACTACGCGGCGGCGCGGCGCTCTGTTCATCTGCTCCACCAAAGCTTAGTCCGCCAATGGTGCGTATTTCGGAACTGCCACGTGGTGATGAAATAGTACTGCCCCTTGGAGTAAGTCTTAGAGGAGCAAACAAACAGAGCGCTGCGCTGGCCGCGCGTCCCCCGGAGCGGCTCCCACTAGACCCAATTTAGCACCGAGGGATAGGATAGCGGCTAGGGACGCATCATGAAAATGAACTCATTGCGGAACTTGCTTATGATGTCAGCTCAGAAAATAGTTTAGACCAAGACTTCGTAGAGCCAAACTTGGTTTTTGGAAGTTGAATCCACTACTGTCGAAAACCGCCTACCTCTTTTTATTCAACAGCCGCTCCTTCTCAGTCATAAAATATTCTCCACTTTCCAACTGCTTGTCAATCTAAAAAAAGCTGCTGTAAAAAAAAATAATCAAATAAGAACAAGATAGTAAGAAGTAAGCTCAATAGAGAAGAGATTCGGATTACACAAGAAAGCAAATTCTACAGGAAACGACCAAACCTTGCTAAGAGTAGGTGCAGGAGGGAATGGAGTGTATTCACCCTTCTTCTTCCAAGCCCGTTTCTTTTTCTTCTTAGCTTCGTTTGTGGAGGATGAAGATTGTATCTACAAACTTTTTTTATTCGGCACCAGCCTAAGTTGCACCTTAAAAACATACCTTCTTCTTGAAATTAGGTAAAAATCGTTCCCAGTTCTCATCTTTCAACTTTTCGTTTTTCATAAGTTCACGTTTTATCATCAGAGTCTTTATATTGTATATGGGATGAATGTTGTTCATACAATCCGTCACTATAGCACTGAAATTTTGAATTAAACCAAGGAGACAAATTCGAAAGGAAGATGGACACCCACCTCACTTGCTTCAGGCCTGCTAGCGGTCCGATTGCACACACTGTGCCGCCTTGAATGCAAACATAACACTGTGTAAGTAATTCCATAGCTTTAAGGGTAGCACCGTTGTTACCAACTAAGCGAGCTCGTCGTTTGACAAATCGTTCCTTATTTGGACACTATAACTCCAGAGATAACATAAATGGAGGGAAGTGACACGAATTGAGGAAACATTTTGTCATATTGTAACGTACCATAGACGATATTTTTATTATTTCACAGAATACTTCGTCTTCCAAAAACACGAATAGCATGTTCATACGGGACACTACGTGACATGAGCTTCAAAACGTCGCGCGCTTTGATTAATATATAAGGATCCCACGTCTTGCGCGTTGTACTGACAGTCATTGTACCTGAAAATGATTTTATGATACCCTCAAGACAAATCCTACTTTTCTTCACCGCGCCCCGGCACTGATTCTATCATGCGATTGAGGGACAAGGTTGCGTTAGAGAACTCGTCACAGAGCGCGTAATGTTGTAACTACTCTTCTTTGTTGGGCACTTTGGCTCTGCGAAGCGTGAAGGCAGTGCTATCTCTAGTAGAGGACATGCGGCAGGCGGGCGGCGCTCTGTCCGGTTCTGCCCGTTTCAGGGCTTAGCCCCAGGGGCAGTAACTGCTCCGCCATCACGTGGCATTTTCTAAATACGCGCTATCGGGGACTAAACATTGGAGGAGAGGACGAAAGGAGCGCCACGTGCATGGTCCCCCCTCCCAACTAAGATAGCACCGGGTCCGCGTCTTGTTCTTTGAGGTCTTAAGAAAACGCCAAAAAAATGGTGTGGTCCTTGGGCGTGGCATGTGTCAGTCATCATCGCAGGGGACGACCGCACAAGCGGGTCGCAGAGGTAGCGCGAAGTGGCCACCCAGTGCAATGGCCAACCATGACATGCGCGCGTCACGGCATTTCGAGAGTCCGATTGTTCGAGTGTGGAGTAGTATATGCATACATATCGATCGTGCAACACTTGCAGTTGTAACAATCGTTACCACAATCGTGCGACAGTGATCGCATGTGTCGCACGTCAGACGATCAATACGTATCTTGGCGCCCATGTCTTAATGGTTTACTGCTCAAGTTGTTTTCACATTGTGACTTGCTCACTGCACCAAGAAAACCCTAGGTGCCTAACCCGGTGAATGAAGATGAAAGGCGTAACCTTTCAAGATAGATCAAGGTTTGTCTTCAAAATGTTTTCCTTTCCATGGTTTTTCTACTAGCGGCCAAACTTTTTCTCTTTTTTGGATTAAATATTTCTCACAGGTATTGGGAAAACTAGGCAAGAAAGAAGAGACTCTGCCTACGCAGATCCGCCCGGCGTTGGTGGGTCCTAGCTATGAAAAAAGACGGATTTTATGAACAACAAATCGGTTATAGAAAACTGCTCTCCTAGTGTGAACCATTTAATAACGGACAAATTGATAAACCCATGCTCAACCCGGAACCTTGTTGGGGAATGTAGAAATGTCCCGCCCCTTACCAATGCAGGGTGTTTTCTGGCACAGGAACGTGCTCGCGTTGCTCCGGTTCACCCGCTCCTCATGTCTCGTCCGCCAGTTTTTTTTTTTTTTTTTTTCGGGTGTTCGACTCACTTTTCTTTTTAAGGCTGACGCCATCTTGCAGTGAAACGCATTGAAGGGCTCGGCGCTTCGCACGGGCACTGATATAATGAGACTCCACGTCCATATTATGCTGGCATCTCGACATTTCGTCGATCGGATTGCGCTCTTTTACCATATGCGACTATGGACCATTGCGCACCTGTTTCTCATACATTCAACATTTGCTATACGGTGTTGGATGCTTCAACACTCGGAATGCTCTCCACGGGCTTACGAGTCAGTTCTAGGACATTCCCACCTCCACTCTTTTGTTTAGAGCGGTACGGTCTCGTTGCATGAGGGGGCGCTTTCTTTTGAGCGTCTGAAAAGACGTCGTGGCATTTGGGGCTTTTATGTTACAACGTCCCGCTGTATACGACGCGGTTTCTAGCGTTAGCGCTCCGCATTAGCCTTCAACATTTTTGTTAATGGTCCTTATCAGGGTGAGGCAATTAGGTGCATTGTTAGTTAGTTCGGCGAAACCATCGGAAGATTCGAATCTGCGAAAAAAAGATAGCGTTACATCGACCAGGGTGAGGATTTATTTTCCACACGCACGTAACGCTCGTGTTGCGAGGGAAAAGGTTTAGAGGGGACGTATTGCGACGTACGCTAAACCACGCCCTATTAGCGTTGCTAGAGGATTTTCGCACCGCCGTTTCGATGCTGCGATCTCCGATTGACTGATCGATAGACACTAATTCCTTTCAAGAGGATTCGCAGATTCCAATGCGCGATTCGAAGCCCCTCCCATTTTGTGGATCGATACGCACTTCATTCATTTCGCATTTGCGCAGATTCGTTCGGTTCGAGCGTCCTCCTCTCGTGGCGCAAACTATGAACAATGCCTTAATACTTCAGCCTTTTCCAGTGAGTGTGGTGGGACATCATACCAAACGGTCGTCAACGTGTTAATAATGCTCTATGTGACTAATCTTTATGGAGGGAGGACCCCAGTATGTATAAATCTTCATTTCCCTCCACTCCCTGTATTTAGTTAGTACTAGGGAAATGAGAATTGGTTCACTTGACTCACAAACGCTTCTTTGCATGATACGACACTCAACTCGTACAACAGACGAAAGACACAAAAAATGGTGCAAATCTACAAGCAATTTGTAACTTCAGAAGACTTCTTGCGCTTCTTGAGCAAAATTAGGAAGTAAAGAAAGTAGTAAGCAATGAATGGAAGATCAAGGCGAATGAAAACATATCCCTGATCATACACACCATAAAAGTACAAAGTTACAAGCTCGCCCACTAGGAGAGAACATACACCTAGCGCGAAACTATGACTAGGGCTGCTTGCAGTAATTTGGCAGAACGCTAAATGTTTTGTTAGCCCAGCATTATAGAAGAACCACAAATGGCTGCAACTCGATAGTAATAGCTTCGTGGAGGTGGTTCACCTGGACAGAAAGCGACTTTTTCTGCCCTAGTGTACCCCGTGCACACTCGTGTACTACCACAGCTTCGGTTAGGGAAAAGTCGACTGGAGCGTAGGTAGAGCAACTTGCGAAGCTGCGAAGGCATCCATGATTTGACAAATAATTCCAACTTCACTTGGTTAACCTACTGCGCAAGCACTCTGGTTCACACTCTTCGGAGCATGCCCAAGCCGAAAAAAATAGGACTGCTGTCGTCGTAACGAATGATTGCGCCGCAATTTCTCTCCGTCCTCCATCACACCCAAAAAATCAGAAAATGAACCAGGAAATTCTTTGAGAAACACAGCATCACCATATAAAGGAAAGACAGGTTGTGGCGTGAAAATAAATAGCCCGTGTTGTCGAGTGTAATTACGTACTGCTGGCACAGCACGCTTGATTTCACGCCTTTCTTAGGTAAACGACATTTTGACAGAAAACTCTGAAAAGAACTCGATTTTCCTTCTGCTAACTCGTCAGGAGAGCAGAAGCTTTAGTTCTGGTTGACATGGTTCCATGATTCAAAACAGTGGCAATGAAAATGACGAGTAATAACTGAGTACCAAATTAGGAAAGTCCCTGCCGATCATGATATATGTAACATAGCTATCTGCAAAGAAACAAAACTCCTGGAACAGGAAAAGCGAACGGCAGATTATATAAGGAAATAAGTATCTACAAAGGATCAGAACATCTTAAGAACGAATAGCAATGTAATAATGAGACTGAAAAGAAGGAGAACCATTTTCAGATCGGCGTCGCGCGAAAATTAGCCGGACTGAGCGATGGGCTGTATTGAAGTCGTTGAGTTGAGATGGCTGTGAGCCTGCCTGGAACAGTTGTCGGGCCGTTGCGCTGTATCTGGAGGTATCTCGTCCATCTTCAGAAGATAATTACATTCACGTCTGAAAATGGTGAAGCTAAGGATATTTGACCTAAATCGGGTTAGCTCCATGCGGTGAAGCAATGATGATGTAGATTTCCACCGCCCTATTCTCTTGATATCGTCTTCTGACACCCCTTCTAGTAATTGCTGCAGTTGCCGCTCCCCGTAAAGAATGTGGGGTCAAGCCCTTGTAGTGTAAGCCAGCGCAACAGAAAATCTTGTGTATCCGTTTCCTTGAGGAATCTGTTGTTGGAGGGAGCCCTGAGGGGAAAGCGGAAAAAAATTGTAGCCTTTTTATGCTGCAATTGCTGAATGAGTTTGTCCCACAGTATTTGATACACATATCCCGGTGACTTTGAACGGCACTGTGGAGCCTCGCTTGAACTGGTGCGTCTTGGATTTGGGTATGAGGAGCCACCAAGGTCCTGCGCCTTTGTCCCGAAATGCGGGAAGAGGCGAGGAACGAGAGAAGAATCGCGAATGCGTCCCAGATGTGTTCATGTGCTCATTCTGAATTGCTCAAATAATTCCTGTATCTATGTCCTTTTGTGAGCCTTCTTTCTGTCCAATACTGCAGGGGCTTCCCTTTTTGCGGAATCTACAAGAAGTTCTTCAAGCTACGCTTCCACGCTCTCCACGCGGCCGTAAGAAGTTTAGAGATGCCAGAGCCATAAGTGTGCTTTTGGGTACGTCTTTATATATCAAGGGGGCGATGAAAAGATTCTTAAATTTCCCCAACTGAGATCGCGATATGGAGAGAGAAGCTGTGAAAGCTCGACGCGCGGCCTCTCCATGACGAGTGAGCACATTTGATCTGGCCAAGCGACCTGGTGGAGTGCGCCCACGATTTGGCCAACTTTCCAGATCCTTATCATCGCGCGCTGTCTGCGAATTGTTTTGCGACCACCCATCACTGGCACCTGAAAGTGACAATGTCGCAGATTGTCAAAAATATGGGAGGTGAGTGGGTACTCTCTGAGCAGAAATAATCCGGAATGGATACTGTCAGAGACGCGTGACCTGACAAACCTCTAACTATAACCTGAGTCTTCGCGCCTTGCGGAATCCCTTGACAGACTGGTTATCATACGCAAAACGACGATTTGACTTCAAAATTCCGTGAAAACTCCATTTTGCTTCTGCTAACTCCTCGGAAAATATAAAACACGAGGGTTACGTATGAACGGCAAAGTCGATTTCAGCGAACATACAATCAAAGTTCACGCATGGAAAACGAAGTGTGAAAGATGGCGAATCTCCTCTTATAAGAGCGCTTCCTTCAGGAACAACAAAAGTGTCTAAAATTTCTGGGATCCGGCGTGTCTCTTCACGAAGAGATAGAAACGAGAGGTGAAATTGCCAAAAAGGAAACCTATGACACCTCTCCCATTAAAGCTTCTAGCTGTACGATTGCCACTAGATGAGGAGGAGGGAAACACACGCTATATTTTTTGAGCCAGAATCCAGAGGCTGACTCGCTGAAGACGTCGACGGCCGAGAAGCCCTCGCAGAACCATCTGGAAACAAACGTTTCACACTTCTTGTTATTTGCATCTGCGAACATGTCTACTTCGAATGGTCCCCAACGTTCGTTCAGTTTGTCAAAGACTGAGTCAAGTATTGACCATCCATTCAGGTCTACAATCCTGGAAGCGTCATCTGCTTCGTCGTTTAGCTCCCTGGGTATCCAAAACCTTTGCATATCTATTCTCAGTTGTTCGACTTCCAATATTTGCGAAGCAACTGTTGTAAAACCTTCATGGTGCTCTCCTTAAACACTGTTCGCGCTGCCTGACTATCCGTTTGAATCTGGATCCTCGCTTACTAATAAGGTAGCTAAATGATATTACCACTTGTGGATGCCGTACAGCTCTCGATTACATCTGGGCCACACCCCTTCACAGCGTAGACCCTACATCTCCATTAATTTAAGTGCTCGTCCTCAAGCTCTTAGCATCTGTCCGGGTGTGTCCTCCAGAATCAAGGAGTGGATATTCTTCGAAGAATGCCATTATGAATCTTCATGACCAGTTTTCCTCGAATCTCACTTTATTATATTGACTCACCAACTGATGTTGTTCACAAAACAGAATACGCATTGTGATCTGGGCGCGGATGTGTCTACTAGTAACTCTAGAGTTGCTCCACACTGTCAATTCGATCAGCGGGTGAGGCCACAATACTGAACAGCGACTCGATTGTGGCGGCGGTAGCTTCCAGCTTTGGCGAAAGCATAGTTGGGCTCAAACATGGTAGCCGTGTTCACTATCACTTGTATGCGGTATATATTAGGTCATCTCATTCAAACATGTCCACGGTTTTATTCGAATAAAATGAACAGCAGGAAAGATAAAAAGCTAATACTTTGGTGTTAAGTCAAGCAGATCTTGTCGTTGTTAACGACCCGATCCCAGCGTCTAGAAAACACTGGACACCGCGCAGCTTCTTCATTTCAACAAGTATAGACAAGATGCTTTTGATGTCAGTATAGATGAT